GCGACGGCCGCGGCGCCTTTACTGCAAAATCTGCAGGAATTTCGGGCACTTGGCGGATCGATGCAAGCTTCGATCCCGCCCTCGCCAGACCAATCCGAGCAACTGGTCCGGCCGACAAGACGCGAGGAACGACACGCGTCCCGCCCTGGGGTATCAACCCTCATCGCGCAGCCTGAACCCAACAGTTCAGCAGCAGCAGCAGCCATCTCAGGCCGCCCCAGTCCGCAATGGGAACATGACTATGACGAGCGGATCTCGTCGCCCGCGCGCGTGCTCACCGTCACCTGAGCCGGCGCCTGACCCAATTGGAGCGTTGTCGAACAACAATCCGTTCAGCACGCGTCACGACTACAGCGACGACGACAACCAGGACTGGAATCTCCCAGTCCTGCTGCTTGAAAGCCCCCCGCACGTACCTGACATGCGGCCGGCACCGATCGATTGGATCGCGCGCGAACAGTTCTTGAAGGTCGACACTCCACACATCGTCACTCCGCGACTGGCGCTGCTCGCGCGAAACGACAACAGGCGCTACAACACATGGTACCTGGACAGCCGCTGTGGGCAGCACATGGTGGGCTCTGAGCGTTACATATCCAACGCCATCCCCACTCCCGTCGTCACCTACGTCATTGTGGCGAACAATACGCGGCTGCGCGCAAGCGCGCAAGGCATTGTTGTGCTCAAAGCACATGGGAGCAGAACGCACATCACCTTGAATGACGTGTTGATTGTGCAGAACCTGCGCTTCAACCTGCTCTCGGGCGGCGCAACTCCTGGATTGCGGAGTCATCCTCAGCATAGACCCCCCGAAGCTGCGCTGAGTCACCAGCCCTTCCCCCTGCTCGAGCCAGGAACCAATCGCTACGCCAAGCTGGAGAAAGTTTACAGTGACTTTCTCAACGTAGGACACTGCGGCATCAACGACGAGCTCTACACACTCACCTTCGTCGACGCCGGAACGCGCCACGTGTGGGTCGTAAACGTGGAATCGCGCAGCAGAGCCTACGAAGCATTCCGCCTGTGGCTGGCGCACGCGCAACGGCAATCTGGGGAGAAATTGAAGATCTAGCAGTCCGACGGCGCGGCAGAATTCAGGAGCAAGGAGCTGCAAGACTACCTTGCGCAAAAAGGGATCGAGAACCACATCTCCCTCCCCTACGCGCACCAGCAGCAGGGCGTAGCAGAGCGCACGAATCGCACCCTCATGAAGAAGGTGCGGGCGCTAATGAGGCAGTCAAAGCTCCCACCGATCTACTTGACCTACGCGATGCACCACGCCGTGCAGGTGCACAACCTGCTGTCAACCACCGCGATCACCGGGAATTCCTCGCCACATGTGAAGTGGACGGGAAGAAAGGGGGAGACTTCCATGCTCCGCGTATGGGGGTGTATGGTTCAATACCAACCGCCAACATCAACCATCGGGAAATTTAAGAGCCGCGCGCGCTGGGGAATCCACCTCGGCATCAGCCACGAACACAAAGCGTGGATCTCCTGAGTCAGACAATCAAAAATGCGTGTGACGTCATCTTCTACGAGCGGCTCTTCCTGCGGCAATTCCGTGACGACGAGCAGACGAACGCAAACCGCGTCTACGCCAACGAGGGCCAAAGCTACGCCTCACCTGAGGACAAAGCCGCAGCAGCAATTCTGGAGCAGGATCCCAGAGGCGAGTTCACGAGGGGCGATCGTCGCGACGACAACGACGACGACGATGATTTAGCAGAAGGAGGAGCGGGCGCAGCAGGAGAAGGCGCAACAGAAGGAAGCGGAAGCGGCGGAGGCGCAACACCATCAGCCCCACCAGAGCCGGAAAGCGACGACGACGATGTGCAGGAGGTCGTCCCACAGCACCGTCGCGACAGCACCGTCACTGGAATGCAACTACTCGGGCTCCACGCAGCCACATCAACGGCGCCACGCATCATCGAGCCCAAGAATCCACGGCAAGCACTCACGGGACCTCATAGCAAAGAATCGCGGGAGGCGATGGACGCAGAGATCCGGGCACTCGAGTCACGCGACACCTGGGTGCTCGTCGACCGTGCAGCAGTGAAGGGGAGAAGAATTCTCTCCGGCAAATGGGTCTTCCGCGTGAAGACAGGAGCTGACGGGACGATCGAGCGATTCAAGGCACGCTGGGTGGTGCGAGGCTACGATCAAAGGCATGGAATCGACTTCGACCAGACGTTCGCACCGGTTAGCCGTCACACGTCCGTCAGAATTCTCCTCGCCATCGCAGCCGCACGACACCTGCCGCTACGACAGATTGATGTGAAAAATGCGTTCCTATACGCGTTAGTAGATGCAGTGATCTACGTAGAGCAGCCGCACACATACGATGACGGGGACCCACGTGTCTGTCAGCTACGCAAGTCCCTGTATGGGATTAAACAGGCGCCGAGACTCTGGCAGCAGTACCTGCACAACATACTGCTTGAAATCGGGTTCAAGCAGCTGCCTCACGACCATGGGATGTATCGCCGCGATTCCCGCGGCGAATACATCCTACTCACGGTCTACGTCGACGACCTTCTCTACACAGGGTCGAGCAACGAATTGCTTGAGCAATTTGAGAAGAGTCTTGCAGAGCGCGTCGACATCACCTGCAATCATGACGTGAAGCAGTTTCTCGGCCTCAACATCACCTACTCGCCGGAAGCCATTCATCTCTCAGATGCAGAGGAGCTAAGCAAGCGTTTCAACATTTCACCTGCACCACTCTCCACCCCTTACCGCACTCCAGGACCCAACCACAAACCTGACAACAAAGCCATGTCCCCTGCTGGACTTCACACCTACCAGCAGCAGTTGGGGTGCCTACTCTTTGCATCTGTTACCTGCAGGCCCGACCTTTCCTACATCGCGAGCCAGTTGGCTCAGTACTCACGCAAACCAACGGCGGAGAACCTCTCAAATCTTCAGCGAGCCCTTCAATTTTTCATCTCCACGCCCAATGTTGGGCTCTACTACTCCACCATCCCAACCGCATCCTTCGGTCTCGTCGGCTACGTGGACACAAATCATGCCGCTGATCCCGACAATCGACGGTCCAAGACAGTTTTCCTCTTTCGCCTCGAGCCCAGTGGCCCCATCTCCTGGAACTCGCAGAAGCAGGAGCTGATTGCCCTGTCATCAGCGGAAGCCGAGTTCATCGCAGCAACAGCAGCCGTTCGCGAAGGCCTCTACCTTCAGGAGCTGCTGCAGGAGGCAAAAAACTCTGCCTCAGCAAACTTTCGCCTGCACTGCGACAACCAAAGCGCGATCAGAATCGCGAACAAACCCGGATTCGTCAACCGCACCAAACACATCGCGCTGCGGTACTTCTTCGTCAAGGACGAAGTTGACAAGGGCAAGGTTGATCTGATCTACTGCCCGACGGTGACATGGCAGCAGACTTCCTCACAAAGAAACTGCCGCGTCAGCAGTACCAGCACTGCTCCGAACTCAGCGGGGTAGTCAAGCGGGTCAAGACCTGCTACGGCCAGGAGTGAAGGGGGGTGTTACGAATAGTAATTACTGAAATACTATTGTGCACTCCTCACCGCAGCAAACGCAGCATGCACTACCGAGACTGAAGATGAAAGGGCGCAAGTGACGCAAAGGGTCACACGGTTACGAGAAGCATCTGGACCGTCGGGCAGACAGCATCAGGCAGCAGCAGTGGCGAGGATTCTGCCCGAACGGTTTCGTAACCACCCGGAGTCGCACGGTTGGATTTCGATGCAATAAGGGAATGTACCCCTTAGAGTACATGGCTAGCTAGGTCGTTTCGAATTCCCTTGTACTCTTATTTATATTCCTTGTACTGCATGTTTTTATTATCTCAAGCATTTACATTCACTCTGCTATTGAGGTCAAGGGCCCACCACCACCAAATCAGCAGTGTGCGAACCTTCCTGAGGTGATCCTGAGAACGATCGAATTCTGATCGGAGCAATAAGGCCATTCGTTTTCAGCTGTTTCAAAGGCTTCTAGACTGTCCTGTCCTTCCATGATTTTCCAGCCGTTGACAAAATCATGTATTATAGAAAACTGATTTTGATCAAGTTTTGGAAGTATACAAACTGACTTTCGAGGAATGGCATATCGAACCAGCTAGGCGAAAATCGAGGGCAGGAACTGCCTCGGGAGTATGGCGAAGGTTATGGGGGTGTCTCGAGAGTGGTTTGGGTCCGATTAGTCAGGCCGAACCTGCTCTGGCGAGAAGTTCGGAAACCAGCAGAAACGCGCGCGAAGTCGATTTACCGAAATAAACCGAGGTAAGTAAGATTCGAACCCACATTTTTCGGCACACCTTGCCGCAGCAGCGCGCGCAGCGTGTGCCCTCCTGTCTGCTCGACTCCCTCCCCGACGACCCCAAGGCTTCCCTCTCTGCCTCCCCTCGACTCTCCACTCATGACCTTCACACCTGCCTGCCCACTAGGAGTACAAATCAGCAGCTCGCACTCCAATTTCTCTCATCACACCAGCCTCAAGCTCCACTTGTTACCAACATCGGTAGCTCTCAGCCTTCCGTTCCCGTTTTCAGTCAGCCTCAGAATGGCCTCAGTGTCCGGCTCGAAGAATCCCGCCTATTCGGCAGCGCTGAGCTTCTGGAAGAGTCTCGACAGGGAGAGTTCAAGGGCATCACAGCGCGTACAGCCGGTGAGCGAGTCGTCGAGCAGCGGAACGAGCGACGCCTGCCGTTCTTCCGCCGTGACGACCCGCTGCAGCGCCTCTGACGCGACCACCTGCTGCGACAGCACCAACGATGACCATCGCGCTCACGCCGCCGCGGAATGCAACCACGCGTGCGCTCGCCACGACACAGCGTCGGAACCTGCTGTGTTGGAATCCGCAGCGTCGGAACCTTCAGGGTCGGAATGCGCAGCGACAGAATCTGCTGCGACGGAATCCGCTGCGACAGAATCTGCTGCGACGGGATCTGCTGCGACGGAATCTGCTGCGACGGAATCTGTTGCGACTAAATGTGCTTCGACTCAATCTGCTGCGACTCAATCTGCTGCGACAGAATCAGCAGCGTCGGAATCAGCAGCGTCGGAGTCAGCAGCGTCGGAATCACGTGCGTTGGTCGCGTGCGTGTCGAGCCCGTCAGGTGGTCGCACCAAGGCTGCGGAAACGAGATCAGTAGCACCACCGTCGCGCATCCCCAAACCAAGCAACAATGGAGCGCCTAGGCGGCGCGTGGAGGGAGCGAGTCTGATTCCGCGGCCGAAATGTGTTGTTCCACAGAGGGAGGTGAGGGCAGTGCACGCTGAAGCTGCAGTCAAGCCGCCTCGCAGAACGTCCAAGGCCGCGCTGGCTGCCCTCCCACGGCGCCCATGGCGGCCTTGACTGCTGCTTGCATGGAAAATAAAAGGAAAAAAAAAGGGAAAGGAAAAAACGAAAAAAAAAAAAATCAAGGAAACAAACAAGTGATTGGTTAAGAGTACGGTTCCACAGTATGGGAATGGGATGGAAGGCAGGTACGCGCAGGGAGGCACAGCAACGCGCAGAGAGCAGCGAGGGGGGAGGGAGTTGTGGAGGTGGGGTGGGTGTGGTGTGGATGGGGTGGAACACTACGGTGGCACTACCTTTTTTTGCGCCCTGCTTCACAGCAGGGTGTTTGTGGGAGTGTGGGTGGGCAGTTGACGGTTGGAGGGGGTGAGGCAAAGCTGTGGTGTGGTGCTGTTCTGAAAAAAGACTCTTGTTGCTGCTGCTGTGCTTCGAGGACCACTCTGCTCTGCCGTGCTGCTGCTGTGCTCTCAATGCCACAACTCAACAATGGCTCCTGCCGGTCATGCTGCTGTGGGAAGATTAATGTATAGGAATACAGTAGGACACAAATAGGTGCTGCCATGAAACTAGGCAAGATCACATGCAACGCTGCTGGAGGGGGGGGAGTGGGCAAGCGGTAGGAAGGAGGGGCTGAGGAGCAGCACGTGTGGTGGCAGGGCGAGTGGTGGGCCCCGTAGACACCACGCCTGCCTGCCTCCCCGCTCCCGCCCTCCCTGCACGCCGCCTGCACCCCTGTCGCCTGCAGCGCGGCAGCAGGGGGAAGGCAGCGAAGAAAGGCGGGGAAAGGAGGAAGAAGGGAGCGGAGAAAGGAGGGGAAAGGAGGAGAAGGGCAGAGGAATAGGAGGCGGTGCCCTCCCCTGCCCTCCTCCGCAGCACTGGCGCCTTGAGAGCACACAGCAGGGCAGGCGGGCGGCAGGCTGGGGGCAGCATGGGGAAAGGGGGCGGAACAAAGGGGGGGGAGGAGGGGAAAAGGGGGGTGAAGAAGGAGAGTGAAGGGAGGGTAAAGGAGGAGTGATGGAGAGGTATCGGAGGACAGGAGAGGGAAGGAGGGGGAAGGATGGGGACGGAGGGGGAAAGGAGGAAAAAAAGAGGGGGACGGGAGAGGGGAAGCAGGCGGAACGGAGGGAAAAAGGGGGGGGAAAGAGGGGGGCAGGAAGCTTTGGGCAGGAGGGAGAAAGGAGAGGAATTGGGGGAGAGAGAGGGGAAAAGGAGGGCGGAGGAGGGGCAGGGAGGGCGGAAGGAGGGGTGCGTGCATGAGCGGTGATGCCGTGGCCTCCCCTGCATGGCGCCCCGCCGCACTGGGGGGCGCCCAGGCAGTGGCACGCCTGCCAGAGTGCCGCCTGCAGCGCGGCATGGGGGGGGGGGGGGCGCACGCGGGGGGTAAGGGGTTAAGGGAGGGGGAAAAAGGAGGGAAGAGTGATGCTGGCAGGAAAGGGAAAGGAGGGCAAAAGGATGATGACGGGGAAAGGAGGGGAAACAGGGAAGAAGGTGGGGGGAAAGGTGGGGGAAAGAGGCAGATGCGGCACAAACGCAGGAGGGCGGAAGGGGTAAGGAGGGGGAAATGAGGGGGAAATGAGGGGGAGAGGAGGGGGAGAGGAGGGGGAAAGGAGGGGGAGAGGCTTGGGAAAGGAGGGGGAAAAGAGGGGGGCAGGAGGGGGGACAGTAGGGGGAAGGAAGGGGGAGAAAGGAATGGGGGGAACGAAATGGGCGGAAGGGATGGGCGGAAAGAAATCGGCGGAAGGGATGGGCGGAAAAAACTGAGCGGAAGGGATGGGCGGAAAGAAATGGGGGGGATGAGGATGATACTAACATATTGTGCGACCCGCGTTGGACGGGCGGTGTTGGCGCGAGGGGGGAGTTGCGCAGAACGATGGCGGCCCGCGCGAGCGAGTGATGGCGGGCAGACGGGCAGCGCGCGCGACGAGACGCGCGGTGGCGAAGCAGGCAGGGGAGGTTGGTAGGAGCGGGGCGGTGATCGGAGATGGGTGTGTTGCGCGCGGGGATGGGCCGGCCGCCTCGCATCACTCCGTACCTCCGTCCCGCGCATCCCTCCACCACTCGTGGGGCCCGCCAACGGCGCTGCCGCGTGAACACGCGCATCTCGCCCGCCTCGTCAAGCGCGCAGCTGCCGCTTCAGTGGCGCCCACGCGGCTGCACGCGCGGCTGGCGGAACGGCGGTGGGGCCACGCGGCACGCCAGGCGAGCAGCAGCGACGCGCACCGCGCGACGTCGCTGCGACCGTGACTGAACGAACTCGCGCGACAGCCATCGTGATAGCCATCCATGAAGCGACCGTATTCGAGCGCCTTGCTACGCCGCTGGACCACTGCGCGCTCGCCATCCCTCCCACACTCTCGCTCCTCTCTATCGTCACTGCGCGACGTCGCTGCCGCAGGATCACGCGCACCAACCATGTCTGCCACCGAAACTGCCGCTCGTCTATCGTAACGTAACGTCTAACCATGACATTCATTGCTAGTACAGCTTCAACTCGTGGGCTCACTTATTGCGCGGCGATGGCGCTGCGTCGTGCACACTGGCTCTTCTCCCTGGTATCGCCTTGCCCCAACCACGAATCTATCCTCGCTACAAGAGGTCTTCCGAGTGCAAGTTTTATACATTCAATTCAAAAGAATTCCTTTGACTTTGATAAATGGAGTGGCGACGCAGCTGGACAAGTAGATGCTACAGGTGAACGACAACGGAAGTGTAACGATGATGAGTCGCATGCCTCGGACGAGTTCCGCATGCGAATCAGTAGGCGACATACATAAAACGAGACATTGACGAAGACGATGCGGGGCATACAAGCACGTCAGTCACAACAACGGTATCGACTATTGTTAAAAAACCAAGATAATGAATCCACCTCCATTTAACCTGACAACGATTCACTTTGGCGGTTTTGCTTCTTTTTTTTTATATATATTTATCTATTCTAACACGAATAACATTGCACCTTACAGTATCGTTACCATGTGAGGACCTGCATTGGAATGGTGACATTGTACATTCCACAAAGGGATATTTGGCAGAAGGAATACATGCGAGCCACAAAACTTCGAAACCTTGTCAGAATCTCAGCCACTAGACCACTGGGATAAAAGGGCTTGTTAAGTAGCGGGTCAGTGCGCCCATAACCCCCCAGGACAACGAGCCTGTAACCATTCCCTAGGGGATCACCAGTGGACCTCTGACACCCCCCCGCCCTGGGATGCCCGAAATGCATACACCGGGACTTGAACCCGAGACATTCGCTCTAATAACATGTCAGAATCTCAGCCACTAGACCACTGGGATAAAAGGGCTTGTTAAGTAGCGGGTCAGTGCGCCCATAACCCCCCAGGAGAACGAGCCTGTAACCCTTCCCTAGGATCAATCGGGGATCACCAGTGGACCTCTGACAAACCTGACAAGGAGAGTCCAAGATTACAATCACAATAAAAAGCAAGCGAGTACAATAATCAGCAACTAAACAGGTGAGGGCCTGCTGGAACAAGGCCTAACTGAGTTCTGAGCCGATGATGGTCGCGTGGCTGAAGTGTTTTTGTGAAGATATCGGTAGTGTAGGCCTTTGATGCCAAAATATCCAACCGCGCATGGCCGCGTCGGTGCAACTTACGCGGAAGAAAGTATCACAGCTCGTTATGCCCCTCTCTCCCTCCAGTCAGGGCTCCCGACACAGGAGGATCATGGCCGGTTGACAGCGAACAAGGTCGGACAGAGATAGGCTGCTCAACTAAGTCGAAGCTAGGCCATGGCACCGACGTAGATCTAGGCCTCAGCAGTGGACGAAGCCACATACGACGAACGAGTAGATATCCATGGATCAGATCTTGAGCCCTGGCTAAAACAGTAGCTCTAAAAAAGACCTGCAAGTTTCATCGTCGTCAGCCCACGACGCGTTAGTGTGCCCGGTAAGTCGCACCGGTCCCACTCCAAATGCAAGCCTCACGCCTTTTGTGCTCGCCAGCTACTTCGCTACAGAGAACAAGACGGTGTTTCACGGTCGCAACAAGGTGAGCAAGGATGCTGAGAGGATAGACGATCTGGCCGAGTGCACGTCATTGAGTACATGAGGCACCTCACAAGCTCTGGGTACTGACCAGTAGGCTCAGCCAGCTCGTCTGGAATAGGATCATTGAGTTTATGGTCAACTGGGCAATAGAAGTGGGCTGTGTGGAGGAGACCTTAAAGACGAACTGCTGAAGGACTTGCTGAACCATGTGTGGCTGATTCTGATTGATGGTGCATGCTACTCTGTACTTTGTGATTTGCAAGCCACGATAGCAGCGCAGCTCACGAATGTTAGTGCAAGTGTGTCTCTTCTGCATTTCAGCCTTCACTGAATTCAGTGCAACCTTGCGTGTAGTAGCTAAGACCAAGTCATCGACGTAACAAGAGTGAAGAAACGGGTGGGCTCCGAACGAACGAAAAGTGACGGGTCGGTTGAAGATGGGTCGAAACCGAGAGCAAAAAGAGTGGTGCCACTTAGGAGGTGTATGGCATAGACCATAAACTAATATGTTAAAATAAGAACGGAGGGATAGATGACTAAATTAAAAAAGTACAAGGGTAGATATAGCAAACCTAACCCTAGTACTAATAATGCTGTGCACCATATAGACTAAACATTACAGGCTTTAACAATGACAGCCTGACACACCCCAATTGTCTAGGTGACGGCAGTCCTGTGGACGGCAACACATGTCCCAGGGTGAATAAAAAAGTCACTCCACAGTATGAGAGCAAGCAAGAGTTCATGACCAGTCAACAAGAACAAGCAATAGTCACAAGACCAGTCCACAAGACAAATTAACCAGCAAGAGATGCAACTCAAGCAAGATAAACATCTTCAAACAAGCAAGTGTGGAAGTGCAGGCACAATGCCCAACTGGGTGCAGAAACTCTGGTGGTTACAATGCGGCAACGACTTGTGAAGATATCCGCAGCGTTGGCCTTAGAGATCACACGTCTCACGCGAGCCTGGCTATGCTGCTGCAACTCACGCAGAAAACTAACGAAGCTGGATGTTTGACATCCCTTCATCTGGCGGCGCAAGGCATTCCACCTCTTCGATCTCATCCAACCATTTCCCGACCACATTGGTGCAGGAGGTGGTGGGCATGTGACAGTTGGTGCAGCGTCCGTCGGGGCCAGGATTGTGCATCATCCATCTCTTGCAAGTGAAGTTAAAGTTTGACCTAGAGTTCAAACCTTCAGGCATGAAATTGTTTCCATCAAACACGGTACTTGTCTTGATTTAGGAGACGTTCAGGAACATTGCTTGCGCTAAGTTGATAACATCATCACTTGGACGGGGCGTTGTTGGTGTTGAGCTGTTTGTGTTGAGGATGAAGGTTTGCAAGGTCAGTTGTGACTGGTTGAGTAGGTTAGGAGAAGGTTCCCATGTCACCATTCCGCAATGTTTGGAGTACTTGCTCCATATTGATGGTCGTTGAAGTAGCTGCTAGAGATCGGCAGTGCTGATCGTAGTCGTCGCCTCTGATGTCGCAGCAGGGTTGGGATGTGCTTCAGCCGTCAGATTTGTTTGGCCGCCAGATCCTCCGACCATCTTGACATGTGAGCGTGGGCCGCTCGCCACTTTCAGTTCATGAATTCTCGGAATTGGGGTTGCAAAGAATCCCTGAGTCGCTCTCATACCATGTTACAATGCCGCAAGGGAGTTTTCCCGAATCGTCTCAGGGTTGATCACAGAGTGATATTACAGCGAAAATGATTGATTCCTAGTAAGAGTGAATGTGAAATGACTGAAATGACCATAACATAGACATACATGTTTTACGTTACGAATTAATATGAAATGACCTAGCTAGCTCTGTACTCTAAGGGCTACATTTCCTTGTTGCATCAAAATCCAACCGTACAGCGTGGTAACCTGTTTAAAACCTGTTCCCGCCTTTTTCCGTTCAAATGCATTTGCCTGCATTGGTCTTCATGTGACAACTGTCTTCGTCGGTTTGACTCGCCTGACTCGGCTTCATACTCGGTATGCAAACTCATGTGTCAAATGATATATATGTTTGTGCTAGTCTATTGTGAGGTATGCTGTAGGGATTACAACATGGTTAGAGTTAGCTATTTGTACCCAACCCTTGCTAGTCCAATGCGTTCCGCTGTTCATAGATTCTAACATGATGTCATCGAGTAGGTTCGTTCCGCCTCCCCTACTGCCCTACGCGCTGCTGCCTTAGTGCGCGCTACTGCCCTCTTGAGCGAACGCCTGCCGCTGCTGTTTGCGCTGCCCCACTGCCCCTACTATGTGTGATGCTGCAGCCGCGCTGCGTACTGCCACTGCTGCCTGCTACTCGCCGCACCGCGCGCTGCCGCTGCCGCCAGCTGGCCCGCCGCCGCGCCCCACGTTCTTGCTGCCGCCCTCTGCACTAGAAGCCGCGCACTGCCGCTGGTGCTCGCTGTCGGCCACTAAAACTCGCTAGCAGCCCGCTGCTGGCCTGCTGCCGCCCATAGCCACTCACCGCCGGCCTGCTGACGGCCGCTGCTGCCAATTGCCGACCCGCTAGCCGCTCGCGCACTGCTGTTGCCGCCCACTGCCAGCCAGCTGCCGCATGCTACTGCCTGCTGCTGGCCCCTGCTGCCCACTATCGCCCGTTGCAGCTCACTACACGCCGGCTGCCACCCGTTAGTTGCCGGCTAAGGGCTGGTTGCCGGCTCACTGCCGTCAAACCATGCTGCTCACCGCTGTGCTTCTGCCTACCGCTGAGCTGCCCTTCTGCTGAGCCGCACCCTACTGCCGTGCAGCCCGTTCGCACCCTGCACCCCGAGCTGCCGCCCGTACCTAGGCTTGCAACTAGTTCCTAGTGCTGCCGCCTGACCTAGTGTCCGCAGTGGGAACTACTCCTGGGCTCGCGTTTGACGTAGAGGGGCGCCCTCTCGAGTTTGAGTCTTGTCTAGAGGACGATGTCTCTCCGTTCGAGAACACATCGGGGTTCCTTAAGGCCCCCAAGACTCAAGCTCAGCCTTCTGTTGACGTTGAGGAGGAG